TATATATATGTATTTATTTTTATACACAAAAAAAAATCTTATGTTTATACCTTCTGTGGCAGGTAAAGTTTGAGGTAAAGATAGCTGCGGGATTCCGCCCAAAGGATATTGTAATCGAAGAGGCAAATAATGCCAAAGCAAAGTGGATTGTAATGGATAGGTCTCTTTCACACTCCAGCACATAGATGACAAAAACATCGAAATCACAACTATGATCTTAGTTAATTTCGTGTTAAATTAAAAACAAAGACGAAATCCACTATGAAATTGTTGCACTATAATAACAAAAATAACCTGTTGTTGCCAATATTATAACACAAGAAGCCAATTTTCGCATGTGACCTAAAAAAATAAAAATAAAAAAATGTCTCGACCTCTTGTAAATACCGTCAAATTAATCAATAACTAGATACGTTTTCTACAATTTTTCATTGTCCCAGATTATAGACGTTGACCAAATGAGATTAAACTCATTCTGTTGTTGTTGTTCCAGGTGCTTTGCTAAAGATCCAAGTTTCCAACTAAACGGAACAAAATTCAACGTAATCTCGGTGAATGACGACGGCGAAGCCATTTTCCACCTTAGATATGCTCCTGAAAGCTCATCATCAGCCACGATTAAAAAACTAAAATCCGAGAACAGATATTTAAAAGTAAAAAAGGAACCAAAACCTCAAATGAAGCCATTTGAGTGTTTCAAGTTACCACCAACATTATCTCAACCTTCTTCTCCTAGTTCATCAACTACTAGTCCTCCACAAAACGAAAAGCTTAAAATGGAGGTGCCAGCAATAGAAGGAAGTACTAGTAGTGCTGCTATCTTTTCTCCGCGAAGTAATAATAACATTTCGTCGAGAAAATTCTGCGATCCTAACTTTGTGCTAAGACTGCCATTGAAACTGAGCAAGGAAGAGCTTGAAGAGATAACGCTCAAGTTTAGCACGACCATTTCCTCGGACGAGAGCCAGCACTTTGTGGTGTTTGAAGGGTTTTTTCCGGTTTATCAGTTGCGCGTTATGGTTAAGATGTTTAGAGGAGATTCTGGTGGAGTTTTTCTTGAGGCTGAGAAGAAGGCAGCCTTGTCTATGCGCCATAAGAATATAATGAGGTTGATTGGATACCACCAAAGTGAAGATACTACTTTTCTGGTGTTCCCATTTGCTGAAAGAGGCACATTGGATTTATGTATTCTTAGTGGTGAGTTAATTAACTAAAGTACATTTTTTCCTTTGGTTTAGTAATGGGAATAGGTACTATTTAGAACTTCAATCCATGTGTCAATTAAATGTCTCTTTTTTTCCCTTTGAAATATGACAAAATATGTAAATTAATATGATCATAACAGATTTTTAATGTGTCA